TTCAATGCTTCCAGATCCATCCTGCCTCGCTCTCATTTTTATGCAGAGTGGGACAACGTTTTAGGCCGCACTCACAAATATGTCTGTCACGCCCTATCCTTTTTTTTGCGGGGTTTTGTGAGACAGATCTAAACGGGACGGGCATGCGCGTTTTCCGCCCCTAGAGATACTTGAGTTTGTTTAAGAGTGATAGAATTAAAGTTTGGCGTAACTCATCCCTACGAAACCTTTATAAGGTGAAGGGTGTCACTCTATATAAACGTTTTGTTGGCTCTATCTTTAATCAATGTGGGACTTGGGTATTTCCCAATACACCCTCTCACGCCCAACTTTATTGCGCGTGTGTGCATATAAACGGTGGGTGATTCGAGTTATTGATATGTGAGACTTGGTTTTTTCAATACACCCCCCTTACATCTAACACTATTGGGTTTGGTGCGCATATAAATGGTGGGTGGCCCGAATCGATAGGCTCTAATACCATGATAAAATTAGAGTTTGATCTAATTCATCCCAACAAAACTGACTTGTAAGTTGAGGTGTGTCACGTTATATAAACCATTTGCGGGCTATATCTTTAATCAACGTGGAACTTGAAATTTTTCTTAAGACTTGTAAGGTGAGAGGTGTCACTCTATATAAATCTTTTGTCAGCTTTATCTTTAACCAATATGGAACTTGAGTTTTTTCTAATACACTCATTCACACCCAATACTATTAAATTTGGTGTGTGGATATAAAAAGTATATTACCCAAATTATTGATATATAGAACTTGATTTTTTTCATAAAAAATCATTCGCAATTCAATTATTTATCTTTATCAAAGATCAAGATAGATAACGGAAATTTATTATTTATTGAATTAAATACGATAAAAATTGACGCCGCTTCTTTTGTTAGGTCTAATCGTAAGATCACAGAGTATTTTTTTTATGGGAAAGAGATTTCATTCAAGAAGACAAAGAAATAGATACAAATGTTTGGGGTTCCAACGGGGGATAACCTCCAATTCAGGTTCTAGACCCAAGTTGTTTCCCCAATCTAGCTAAGTTATGGGCATCACAGTTAAGATTCCTATTGATAAACATAATAAAGGAGACACTAAAACTACTAAGTAACAATCTGCAATCCACAATAATAGGTTTTAAAACCGCATGTTTCAAGAAAAAATTAATACAATCAATCGCCACTAACGCATCAGACTGGATAGTGAGCTTCTCCAAATTGAGGGTTTTTGCCAACTACAAACTCCGCCTTATTGCCAACACTTCAGCTACCACTGGTTCCACTTCCACATTCTCAGACTTGCATGTAGCCAGCTTGATCCCTTTATCAAGGTCCCTGATGATGCACCCATAAGTTACCACCCTATCCTCAAACACCCCAGCATCCACTTGCACGACATTGAAATTTTGCCCAAAATATTCGGTTTATTCAGAAGAATGCTTCATATCCCCTTTAGTTGGATTCCATTTATTGAACTCTAGGACATTTTTGAGCGCCTCCTCTACAACTCAGACTGGATGAACCTGTTGCTGCTAATAAAGGATCAAGTTGCGAGCCAGTCATAGCTCATGTGTCAAGGTACCCACAGTTGGATGGCAAAGGTATCCCCACAAGAGAACACGCTTTCCAGCCAAGAAAATATCCCATTTTCAAGGGGTATCCTGTAGCTCAGAATGGAGGAGAAGAAAGTTTGCTTTGTAAACTCACAACTCAGAAAAAGGTGTTCCACATACTCCACAGCAGTATGGAAGAAAGAGCAAGAGACATCAAGTGAAATATATTTTTTCTTGAGGTTCACCTTGGTGGGCAAGATATTTTTGGCAAGCCTCCAAAGGAAGTTACAAATTCTGGTGTTGAGAGGGGAGTTCCAAATATCCTTCCAAAGTTTCTGGTTAGAAAAGCATGAGGGGCCTGGCCTCTTAACCTCTTTCTCATGAATACATAGATGATAAGTTGAATGAACCGAGTATTCTCCATTTTTTCATAGTGCCAAATCATCTTATCCTCAATCTCTCTGAGAAAGAGTGGGATGCTAACAATTTGTGAAGCTTCATCCTACTCAAAGTTAAAGAAAATGAAATCACGTTTCCAATAGCCCAACTAGCTCGCACACTTTTTCCCCACAATCAAGATCCTTAATTTGTCCCCTAAATCTGAAACCAGGGTTACTAGGTAGCCATATATCCTTTCTCACCAACACTTTTCTACCATTTCCAATCCTCGAACGAGATCTTTTTTGAATTAGCTCCCTAGAACTCAAAATACTTCAACAAGCATAACTTGATGCAGAACCAATGAAGCAGTTATCAATGTCGCTTCTAGGATATTATCTTCCTTTTAACACTTTCCCCGCAAGAGAGTCTTCACTTGACATTAGCCTTTAATAGTGCTTCTCCAAGAGACTAGTATTGAATTCACTAATTCAACGGAAACCCATACCTCCCTCTCCCTTCTCCCTATCCATCTTGTCTCAACTCAGCCAATGCACTTTCTTATCACTACTTTTGGATCCCCACCTAAATTTTGCAAGTAAACTCTCAATCTCATGGTAAATTGTTTCAGGAAATTTATAACAACTCATGATATAACTTGGGATTGCTTGGGCCACAAATTTAATTAAGACTTCCTTCTGCCCGTGAGATAAATTTCTCCTTTCGATCCTTTATTTTCTTCCACGCTCTCTCGACAACCAGAGCAAAAATCTCCTTTTTAGATCTCTAAAAAACAACTGGTAAACCAAGATATCTGAAGTGGCTTGTCACAAATTTACACCCATCCTTAACTAGATCATAACTCTATCCTCTTCATGAACATTTTGAATAAACAACGCCTTTGATTTATCAAGGTTAACCACCTGGCCAGAAGACAGTTGATACCTTTCCAAGATTGCCAACAACATGTCAGCTTCATTGTGGCTGGCATAAGCAAACAACAGACTATCATCTGCAAAGAACAAATGGGTGATCATAGGGGCTTCTCGCGCTATCCTCATACCATGGATCATTCCTTCTTGAGCCTCTCTCTTTATGAGACCTGAAAGCATATCAGCACAAAGAATAAACAAATAGGGTAATAGGAGGTCCCCTTGACGGAGACCCCTTTCCGGAACAAAACTCTTGCTGGGTTGGCCATTTATCAGAACATTGTATGAAACAGTAGAGACACATTTCTTTATAAGATTAACCATATTAACTGGAAATCCCATCTAAGAGAGCACAACGGTGACAAAGGGCCACTCCAGTCTGTCATAGACTTTTGAAATATCAAGCTTAAGAGACATAGTATTGTGCTTTACTTTCTTCTTCCTTTTTAACCAATGGAAACACTCCATCACCACCAACGTGTTATTCGTAATCAACCAAACTTGCACAAAAGTACTCTGTTATTTGCCAATAATCTCAAGAAGAATGTGTTTGATTCTATTTGCAATAGTCTTCATAACAATTTTCATGACCACATTGCACAAACTAATAAGCCTGAAATCCTTGGGGTCAATGGATTTTTACATTTGGGAATCAGTGCATTTGTATGGTGTTTATCCATCTCGGGTCCCTGTTGTGATTAAGAATGTCAAGCACCAGCTTTTTTACCTTTGGTCCAACGATGTGCCAATATTTCTAAAAGAAGAGAGCAAGTAGGCCATCAGGTCCAAGGGCTTTGACGGGGTTCATTTGGAAGAGAGCCTCTTTAACTTCCTGAAGGGTAAACTTGTCTTCACACCAGCATATATGAATTGGTTTCAATTTGTCACGTACCACCATACAAACTTCAGAGATGTTTGTAGGATTCGAAGAGGAGAAAATAGTCTCAAAGTAGTTGGACAATCTTTCGCATTGATCATTGCCTTTCCACCATTGACCATTCTCATCCTTTAACTTCTTGATTGTATTTTTCTTTCTTCTTTGTTCGGCTTTCTTATGGAGAAATTTAGTGTTCTTGTCTCCATGGTGAAGTCAAACCGCTCTACTTTTTTGTCTCTAGATAACTTCCTCGACCTATAGGAGATTGTTTCTCTGGTTCTCTGAAGCCTTGTAGCTCTTGATGGAATCCTCATTCGAGTACCATCAACATTCATCTTCCAAAATATTTTCTAATCTCCTCAACTCCTGGTTGATCGACCCAACTATGTACTCGTTGAAATGATCCTCAAGGTTATGCATCGCAACAAACTTATTCAAACTCTGCATAGTATTGTTATTCCATAATTTTACTATAATGCCCTCACATTTTGGATCTCTGCTCCACGCCTCCTCAAATATGAAAATATGCGTTCTTTTTTACTCTTTGTCCCCTGACTCATCTTCCAGAACAATTCTAATTATTGCATGATCTGATCCATACCTAGACTAGACAAAAATTGTTTAGGAAACTATTTATGGCCAAACTTCTTTCCAACGGACATTGGATATTTTCACAACCAGCTCTACCATTTATCCACGTGAAAGGATATCCATTTAATCCTAAATCCAGAAGACCGCACACTTCCAAAGAATGTCTCCTTATAGAAAGTTGACTTGTAGTTCTATTAATTCTCTCTCTTTTTTCTTTGTTAGAAATCACACCATTTAGGTCTCCAAAGCAGATGACTCTCTCTCTCCTTCTCTTTGAACCAGATCTTGAATAACGTACCAAGTGATCTTTTTGTTTTGTTCATCACGATAACCATAAACTCCATTGAAAAACCAAATATGGTTTTCTTGTTCATCAAGCACCGAATCACCAATATGGTTGAGCAAAAAGAAGAGTGTGTTAACTTGAGTCCTCTCTCTTTAAATTAGGATAATGCCACCTACTCGCTCACGTCCAAAACTGCTACAGTCAACACTCAAACAAAACCAAAACCACTTTTGTACTTGACAGTCAAAACCTCCTCCTTCTTAAGTCGAGATTCCATGAGAAAGACCATGTCGAGGTTTCCAATACTTATGAGCCTCAACAAGGCTCGAACTGCACGGGGATTCCCGAACCCCCTGCAGTTCCAACTTAAAATTTTCATTGGTTTATGCGGTGTTGGATTTCCAACACCACCTCTAGTTCAGTTTCATGACACACCTTTGGTACCTCTTGTCCTTTCACCTTCTTTTCACCACTACCACATCCTTCCACTGTCCCATTGATAATCATGACATCTACCAAATTCCTTTTCCCATATTCAATATCCAACTTCTTTGTTTTGTTAGGATTCACCTTCCTAGTAGCTTGCCTCGTTGTCCATTTCTTTTTCTTGTCGTTTGCTGCATTTGATGTTACTTCAGTTTCTCTCCCAACATTGGAGATATCAACTGCACCAATAGATTCAGCCATAACTGCGATTTTCAGTATATTTTCCCCCATAGATGGAGCCTTTGGTTGTGGCTCATCCACCCTAAGACTCTCCTGCAAATAATCATTTCTTTGTTCAACCTCCCCTTCATCCCCTTCTTTTCCTTTCCCTTTAGTCTCACATCTGCTCTGCCATGAGGAAATATTGAATAAACTTTTATTGCAGGAGCTTGAATTAGATTCCTTTTTCTTCTGATCTTCTTGGATTCTTGGCAATGGATGTGCCCTCAACCATGCATCATATGACATATCCTGCTCTTAGAGACCTTCGAAACCCTCTTCACTTAGGTCACCCACTGCTTCACAATCCTTGAGTTGGTGTCCTACCCTATCGCATATAAAACAGAAGGTTGAAAGTCGTTCATATTTGAAATGTACTCGATGGTTTTTTTTCTTTGAAATGAACCATTGTCCCCCTCTTCAAAGGTTGCTTCAGATCTATTTTTATTTTTAGTCTCAGAAATCTTCCATTCTTGTAAGTCTCCTTTAGATCCAATTCTTTGAAATCTCCCAAGAACCCCCCCCCCCAACTTCTTTTCCATCTCCTATGAACGAAGCATAAGGGGAAGTTCATAAACTCGAACCCAAAAAGTACCAAAGTGCATCTTTAACTCAAAAGGTTGTTCCTCCCCTGAAACTCGGCTAATGACAATGAGGTTTCTGTCAAAGCTCCATGGACCATTATTTAGAACACCTTCTAGATTTCTCTTCGTTGCAAACCGAAAGAGGAAGAGGTTTTTACTCACTTCCTGAACCTCAATTGGATTCTTTGATCTCCAAGCTCCTATCATTGTGTTTGTGAACGCTCTTGAGTTAAAATTGTCGTTGGTCCATAATTTCCCCGCAAAAGTACGTTGGAACACTTCTACTTTGCAAACCTCTTCGATTTTCGTTGTAATCCCTTCTTCCTCCTCCTTCGACAATTGGATATTCCTCCATTTATCCATAGCCCATAGTAACAAGAACCTAGCACTATGATGAAGCCACACCGACACAAAATAGTGGAACAAAGAGCAAAGATCATGAGCCTACTAAGGACGGAAAGAAAGACCAAGATAGATTGGATTGGAAACTAGAAAGAATCTAAAAAGGTGACATTCTCAAATTCTAAATAGATAAGAAAGAAGAAAACACGTTAAATCCAACTTCTCTCTAGAAACACGAGGGAAATACATATGACCACGAAGTATATATTTGCATTGAACTATGTATTAATCTTTTGTGAAACCATACTAAATTTCACCACCAAATTAGTTAGAGTAGCCATTTATTTTCCTAGTCACCAATTTTTCCACCAAATTATGTTTGCCTTTATCAAGAGCAACAAAAAAAAATGTTTGTGAAATCATTACTTTGCATGTTAATCTACTTCGAGATGTATTTTATTGTATGACCTTTACAAACATCATTCGGCATAAATCAAAATAGGTGGTTATAAAAACATGCTTCTATCAATCAAAAAAGTTATAGGAACATGTCAACAAAACCAAGGTATCATGTGAAGAATTTATATTGCATCAAGAGTAACATACAAGTGAGAGACGTCACATATACCTTCAAAATTTTAAGGTGATATATATATATATATATATATATATATATATATATATATATATATATATATATATATATATATATATATATATATATATATATATATATATATATATATATATATATATATATATATATATATATATATATATATATATATATATATATATATATATATATATATATATATATATATATATATATATATATATATATATATATATATATATATATATATATATATATATATATATATATATATATATATCTTTTTATTTATAAAATATTCAACTTTTACTTTTCTAAATAACGTAGAACTTTTAACTCACATTTGTACACAACAAACTTTAAAATAAATTACAAATTATGAAAAATAAAATCACTACCAATAAGATATATGGGACAGGTGGAATAGAAATATATAGTGTTGAAGTTAGATTTAAATTTTCTTTCTGTTAAATTTACTCTTTACTCTTCAAAATAGTGGAGTTATGGTGGCAAATGCTGAAAAAACGACCATCAAGATGTCAAAATACAGTAACAATAAACACAACATTCTAAACATTGACCTAATGAAGTATATTTAAATTGACTTATTTAAATGTGTTATCATCCGGGCAGGACAAATATGCTTAATCAAAGTAAGTGATTGAACAAGACAGTTAGATTACATAGCTCAATAGAAATATGAACTCATAATGAAGATTCAATTAGATCTTTAACCAATGAGTGGTAAGATCAAGACCAAGAGATCAATAAACACAAAGAATAAATTTTTAAAAAAAAGTTGTAGGATTTTGAAAACACGTGTGGTTCTTCTACTTTAAAGAAACACTTAATCAAAGTAAGAAAGTCGTAGGATTTTAAAACACATGTGATCCTTCTATTCTAAAAAACACCTAATCAAAGTGAGTGATTGAATAAGACGGTTAAATTACATAGCTTCAATAGAAGCATGAGCTAATAATGAAGATTCAATCGGATCTTTAATTCTATAAATTGTAAGAACAACACCAAGATATCCCAGAAAAGAAAATTGTGGGATCTCGAAAACACACATGATTCTACTTTAACAAAACACCGGATTAAAATGAGTAATTGAATAAAACCAAAAACACCTCATTAAAGAGAGTGATTAAATAAGACGTTAAATTGCAAAGTTCTATAGGAGCATGAGCTTAAGGTCAAGACTAAGAGATCAATAAACACGATAAATATCCTATCCTAAAAAAAGAATGTTGTGAGATTTTAAAAACATATGTGATTGTACTCTAAAAAAACACACAATCAAAGTGAGTGAAAACACATAATCAAAGTGAGTGATTGTATAAGACCCTTAAATTGCTGAATGACTCTTAAATTGGAAGAGGTAGCATAGAAAAACAGTCCACACTTTCTTCAACCTAAAATAAGGACCCCAATGCACCAATTTATATCATCAAGTCAGAAGATATCATCAAGCCTAGACAAGCAAGTCTAGTACAACTTTATTAAATCAAAATGTATCTTCCAAAATAAGCATTTGTGACACTATTAAAAAGAGATTGGAAAAACATTTTAAAAAACAGTTCATCACATGTTGATAAGATTTGATTTCATCCTTATGATAAATGGGAAAATTATAAACACTTGATTAAGATTTTTACCCAACTAAGACTTGAATCTATGAATAGAAAATGAAACATACCATCATGATTCATTAAATGTAGGTGTCATAAAACAACTTTACACCAAATGTATGACTCCAATAAGGCTTGTTTGTTTTTATTTTTTAAAAAAATTAGATTTTTCTTTAATATTTTTAAAAAAAAAAATTTTAAAACCATTTTTGAAAGTAAATTTTTTAAAACCATTTTTTAAATATTATAAGTTGTTTTACACTTATTTTATTTTTTTGAATTGAAAAATTATTTTTAACATTTATAATATAAAATATAATATATATTATTGAAGATCGAAAGATAGTTGAAAGTGTATTTTAATTTGAAATAATTTGTATGAAAAACTATTTAAACAATTTTAAAATTAAATATTTTTTTAAAATTTTAATATCTAAAAAAATATTTTAATAAAATAATGAATGGTCTATAATAATATTTTAAAAATAATTATTAAAACCAAATTTTCATTTAAAATTTTATAAAAAAAAAATTTACACAAAATTATATTACACTATAAAAAATCTTTTTTTTTAAAGATTAAATCACACTAATATAACACTGTAAAAATCATTTTCTTAACAAATGAAATCAAAACGACCCTAAACTCATCTCCAAAATTATGATTTCTATGCAGAACATATATTACATCAAAATCTCTGCATTCATAGTCAAGAATCAAAAACTACTATGCACATTATTTCAACCAAACAAGATATCAAAATCATTCACATGATATAAATTCATCCCACCAAACAAGGAGAAAATTGTCATAATGAAAAACAACCAAGTTTACAATTATAACATCCATAAACATAACATAACATAATCCTTATAAACATCAAACTGCAAAATCCTCAAAAGGTTCTTGACAAGACAAAAGGATACCTAATAAAAAAAACTATGAATAACTTATTCGCCACAAGAGATTAAAACTCCAAACTTGCTTAAGCTTGTTCTTGTTCTTGATGCCATCAACAATATAAATAACCCAACAATCCTGAAAACAATTCATAATTGTTAAAACCCGACAAAGACAAAAACCCGACAAAATTCAAGAAATTGAATGTAAAATGAAAGTTACTGACTTGCAGCTTTATTTACATAACCGGCAGGGCGGGGCGACGTTCAGAAAACGCCGCCGGAGATGGCGGGCATGTCTTCAAAGCTCCAGAGGCTCATTGTGTTTCCACCATCTTGAACTGAATCAGTACCGAGCAAAGTCGCCAAGGAAGCATCACTCCAGTTATCATCAAACGAGTTCTCGAAGAACTTCAGCTGGGACTCGATATCAGCAAGCTCCTCAGAGAGTGTCTTTGCAGATTCATCTTGCATAGGTAGCATCACCTGAGCATTGTTGGACTGCAGATTGATCTGAGATTCGCCTTCCAGAGGAGCAGGAGCAGGAGCGGAAAACACAGACGAAATCTCAGGGGTTTTTGGGGCTTGTTCGCCCCAACCTAGATCAGAATACTCAAACGAGTTGCTTGAATGCTCTGAGCTGAAGTAAGCATTAACATCAGCAGCTGCAAGCTGAAATCCATTTCCCGCAAACGCTCCCATGTTCGCAAACTGGTTGTTAACCATTGGCTTCTGTTCAACCTGATCCATAGGGGAATAGTAGTTCTCCATATTCTCCCTGAAGTTGAACATCGCATTCCCATTCGGTTTGAACGGGTTCAGATTCTTATTCACCAGCTGCATCTCAGCATTCGGCTTAACTCGTTTTGCAGAAGCATTTGGAGTCTCTTCAGGGAAATTCACCTTGGCTTTCGAGCCACGGATTCTCCTAGCTTCAGCATCATAAGCTCTTGCAGCTTCTTCAGCAGTGTTGAAGGTTCCAAGCCAAACACGAACTCCTTTCCTCGGGTCACGAATCTCAGCTGCCCATTTCCCCCACGGACGTTGTCGGATACCCCTATACTGATTCTTCCTCTTCCTCTTCGAATCCTTTTCAGCTTGCTCATTCAACTTCGACACCACCGGTTTTGCAGCACCCAATCCTACAACCAAATTTCAAACTCAAATTAATTAATGAACCATCTAATGCATGCAACATTATTTACACATTGGATTAATTACCAAAACAGAAGCAAAACTCAATTTTACAGATGCGGAATTAAAATTGATTATTATAATCCTCAAATTATCAACTATTCAGATCAATTAAACTAAGCCTAGTTCCATTAAACCAGATCTATTACTTAGGAAAGTGTTGATCAAACATAATTTTCACCAAATCATGCAAATATCCAATTTCACCAATCAAAACAAAATTAACACCAAGAACACTAAAAAAATGAAGCTCCAACATTATTTATAACGATTTAACACTTAACAAGCAACTCTAATTAACAATTAACAAGCAACTTAAACCAACTCCAATTGGATCTATAAAATCATTAAAATAATAACAACAACACAAAATTGGATCTGCAAAATCATTCCAATAGTTAAAAATCACCGGAATTAAAACCAATTACAAATCAAAAATAAAAAATTCCTCAAGAAATTGCCAAGATCTAAAAAAAAGCAATAGAATGAAATCACATATATAAAAATAACAACCTGCAAAATTCTAAATCAGACACATATATTTCACAAATTAAAAAAAATAAACAGTTCTTTATTATTTATTTAAAAAATAGTTTAAAAAACACCAAAACAAATAAAAAAAACAAAAGTTTTCCATCCATAAAAACCGAATAAAATGTGGGACAATATAATAACAAATGCATGTGAAAATGAAAATTATAATAATTAAATTTACAGAAAAAAAAAACAAAAAAAAAATCTCAAACAGTTACCACGAGAGAAGGTCCTTGAAGCTTTGTTGTTGCCAGAAGCAAAAGAAAAACCTTTCACACCGAGCATCAACCCTTCATCTTCCTCCTCATCCTCTTCATCATCAAAATCAGAATCATCCTTGAACTCTCTGAACCCAGCCTCGAAATCATCGTCAAGCAAAAACGATTTCTTCAAACCGAAACCGTTTTTCTTCAAATTCGGCCACAGGATATCAGCAGTAACACGGCGGGAACCAACCACGGCCGCGGAAGCAGGGATGAAGTCGGAGATAATAGCACCACCACACATCTTTTCTCTCTCTTTTCACTACTTCTCAGATCTTTGGGTTTTTCCTATAAAAAAAGCGAAATTTTCTAAACCAATTGAATCTCTTCTCTAGAGTATTGTTTGTTTGATGAATAGTTGGGATTTTTACAAAGTTTTTGTTTGAATGAGTTTTTTTGTGTTTGGTATGAGATGAGACTTGTGTCTTATATATATGCATTATTTCTTTTATTTTTTTGTTAGGAGGGTGGGTGAAAAAATGTGATGATTTGATGTTTACGGTTTTACCCTTGTGGTGAAATGTATTGACTTGGAAAATGTATGTTAACATGGTGTTTATGGTATTTTTACTTGCCTTTGTAAGCATGGAGCACACGTGCCAAACTATTTATTGTTCATTTGACTCTCTTTTTCTTTTGTTGAACATTCTAACATATTACCAAGGAGAGTCTTGAATTAAGTATTCTAGAATTTTAATTCTAGTAATTGTTAGGATTAAGCAATGTTTTATCTAGAAATCTAATTTGTTTTTGAATTTATATTCAAATTGTAGAATATTTTATTACAAAAAAGTAAAATATTTGGTGTTTAATCAAAAAATTATAATTTTGAGTTTATATTGGGAATGTAAAAGTTTGAAACTCTAGAATAGAGAGAGTTTTATATTATATTTAGTGTATCCAAGTCAAAAATTTCAATATTCAATTAGTAAAAAAGTAGAATAATAACCTATATCTTATTTTGATGAATTAATCTATATAGTTTATAGTTTATAATTTTTGACTAATTATTTTTCCTATAAATTTACTCTTGTAATCTTAATTTGAAAAATTAAAAATTAATTATATTTTTTATGTCATTTCATATTTTAATTAAAATATTAATTTTATCAAATACTATAAATTCAATCAATTAACTTATATGTTTAAATTATCGACTAACTTATTAATCACCAAAATAAATTCATATGTTCTCAATTATTTTTTACTAAATAGATCTTATGTGCGATGAGCTTTATATAAATTTTGTTAATTTATCAATAAATATTTCTTTTGAAAACATTATTAAAGTTGGATTTACTTTTATTGTTTTCGTTATGTTTTGTTGAATTTGTTTTTAATGAAAAAAAAAGGATTTGTTGAATGCTTTTTCTTTTATTTCATTAAAAAAGTAAATGTTTGCTTTCATTAAAATTTATTAGATTTTTTTTATAAAAAGTCAATTTTTTAATAATATATAAAAGATAAATTTCATAATAAGTGTTAGCATATTGGCTATATACATAAATAAATACATTTCTTACAGTCTAAGAATAAAACCATAAAACAATTTAAATATTTGAAAATACACAATTATAATTTAAAAATTCTTAAGCCTCTTCAATTTTTTGATATCTAATGATATAGTTTTACACTCTTAAATTTTTTTTAAAGATGATAATTCAAGAATTTAATTATTTAAATTATTATTTTTGATATAAAAAATATTTATAATATATAATATTATCAACGTTAATCAAAATTTTTAAGTCCTTAGTCGATTCGACCGATCAAATTAGTCAGATAGTCAATCGAAGGGTATAGCCAATCAAAAATGTCAAAGAAAAGAATATGCAATTCTTTCGATGAACATTAGCAATGACATGATCAATTCAACAGTCAGATTAGTATATTAATTGATTTGTTTGAACCGGTCTATTACACTTTTTCTAACACTTTTTTAAAGTTTTTATAATTATAATTTTGTATTAATTAAAATTGTTATATTTTTTATATTTATTGGATCAACAACTATACAATCCCATAATATCGATATGACTAATGATCTAGTGATTCAATACTTTCTAGTTGTTTCGATTTTAAAATGAGTCTTTATATTCTTTAATTTAATATATATTAAATTAAAAATTGAGTTATATACTTCAAAATAAGAGGTGTTTTTTCATAGTCAACTTATAAAATTAAAGTTGAATAGTTTGGTCAGCATGAATGACTAATTTTTACATTATAAAAATAAATATTAAGGTTTAAATAATTTTTTTTGGTTCTTGTAAGTTAATATTTCTTTTCGTCCTTGCATTTTTTTTAGAATAAAATTCTTAAATATTGTATTTTATTTGGTTTTAATTTTTTAAGTTAAAATTTGTAGATTTTTTTTTGCAGATTTTAACTTTAAAAACTAAAACTAAAAAAAATTTAATATTCAAATATTTTTTTTAAGTAAAAAGAAAAGATATACAAACAAAATCAAAAACAAGTCAAATTACGGAGATCTATTTAAGTCAAAAATTAATTAAATATATTTTCTTTCTTTTTTTATTAAAGTTAGAGATGTCTTTTACTTTGAAGGAGATACTTTTTTAAAGAATAAAATCGTAAAAATTATCATATTCAAAGCAGACAATATCTCGTACCTGCATTAACATAGAATTGAAATCAACTAAAACATTTTAGCAATAGAATTGAAGCAACTGAAACATTTATAACAATGAGTTGAGTTTCATAAAACTAATTACTTAAATTTTTTAATAATAATGGTATATTACTATATTTATTTTAAAATCATTTATTTTAATCTATTTACATATCGGACAATCTTTAAAAAAAAATTGTCGCATTCATACATTTATATATCAATAGTCATTAAACTGAAATCAAATGATTCAAATTTTAATACAAATTTTAAATTTTTAGAGTTTAAAATTTACTTATTCAATATTGATAAAAAAAAAATCTCAATTGTCTAAAATGCATGGTTGCATCAAAATTTGTGATCATACCACCTTTGTCTAGTGTTTCAATGATCCCCTTTTTCTATAAAGTTAGTCTTCGAAATAATATATATATATATATATATATATATATATATATATATATATATATATATATATATATATATATATATATATATATATATATATATATATATATATATATATAAAATGAGTGATAACTTCTAGTTGTATATGGGTGTTGGAGGATTTTGAGGTTATTGTGGTGTTATAGCAGGTTTATAGATGGTAAAAAAACTTTGTATGTTGGAGTTTTAAGAGTTAATTTAATCTTCTTCTCAACCTTATGACTTAGGTACTTATAGGAACTTATTGGATTTTAATCTTAGGATTCAAAAATTGTTGTCATATCTTTCTCTTATGAAGTGGAGTCTTTATCCTTTGTGGTACTTGGATCGAACTCTAGTGTCGATAAGGGTAGTTTAATGGTTCGACAGGAGTTGTATATATTGTAATCAAAGTATGTTCGAGCGTAATGTCGAAATATATTAACTTGTAATTTAAGTTAGTATGTCAAATTGGACCTTGCTTCTAAAGATCAGTTGTTAAGTTAGTTTGTAGCCTAAGTTAGCTTAGTAATCTATAAATAGACTAGTTCTCTCAGGTTGTTGAGAAAGGTTAATTATTGGTATTCACTTGTAATCTTTGAACCCTTATTGAGAAAGTGAATAGAAAAACAAATTTAACCAATTCTCTATTTTTCTTCTTCCTTCTTCTTTCTCTTTTGTAAAACCTAATAGGGTTTCTTACGTTTGTTCAACAAACTCAAATCTTTTTCTCATAACTTTGTTCTGTTATTGATGACATCACTTCACAATAAACTCGTGCGATGAGCGTGGAGAAGAAGATGTCGCCAACAAAGTATGAGATTGAGAAATTTACCAGTGTGAATGATTTCGGTTTGTGGCGCTTGAAGATGCAAATCCTTCTTGTTCAATAGGGTTTTTTAGAAGCATTGAAAGGATCAAAGAAGGTGGACGTTGCACTATCAGAGAAGGAGAAGATAACGATGGTCGAAAAAGCCCACGATGTTTCAAAGGAGAAAACTACAGCGGGCGTGTGGACGAAATTTAAAGGTTTGTACATGGAAAAATCGATGATTAATCGTCTCATCCTGAAGCAAGCTTTGTATTCATTCAAGATGAGTGAAAATAAAGTCTTGGTTGAGCAGCTGGATATGTTCAACAAGTTAATTCTTGATCTTAAAAATATTGAGGTCAAGATTAATGATGAAGATCAAGTGTTGTTGTTGTTGTGCTTTTTACCTAAGACTCATGCTCACTTCAAAGAAACTCTCTTGTATGGGAGAGATTCGTTGATCTTTGAAGATGTTCAATCTACCTTGTACTCTAAGGATTTGAACGAACGAAAGGAGCACAGACCATCTTTTGTTTGTCAAGGTTTATTCGTTAAGGGGAAATTCTTGAAGAAAAATGGTATGTTTGAGAAGAAGAAGGGTAAAGTTCTACAAAATTTTTATGGTGGTAATGCTCATACTATTAAGTGTTATCATTGTAAGAAGGAGGGTCATACAAGAAAAGTATGCCCTGATCAACTGAACAATCATTGTGGAAAGGATAATGGTAATGCAGCCATTATGCAAGATGGTTATGAATCATCTGATGTTGTGGTGGTTTCAAGCAGTGACTCTAGCAAGGAGTGGATTATGGATTCAGGTTGTAGTTGTCACATGAATCCAAACAAAGATGTGTTTGAAGAACTGCATGATCAAGATGGTGGATCAGTGCTGCTGGGAAACAATAAATCTTGCTATTGGACCTATGAGATTCAAGCTTCATGATGAGTCAATAAAACTATTGAATAATGTTAGGTGTGTACTTGATTTTAAGAGGAATTTGATTTCTCTTGGTGAATTGGACAAGAAAGGATATGTTTTCAAAGGACAAGAAATCATTCTAAGGGTAAAGAATTGGTCGAAGGAAGACTTGAGAGGCGTGAAGAAATAAGGCTTGTATACCCACGAGGTTGAGGTTGTAAGTTCAGTAGATATGACATCCACGAAACCTGTGTCGAAGATTGAACTATGGCATAAGAGACTTGGCCATGTCAGTGAAAGAGGTCTGGTCGAGTTGTCGAAACAAAATTTATTGGGTGATGATAAGGTCGAAAAACTGGAGTTTTGTGAACCTTGTGTATTTGGTAAATCATGTAGAGTGAAGTTTAACAAAGGTAAACAAAGAACACATGGATCCCTTAATTAGATTCATGCTGA